CGTGTGGCTTGACCCTCTCCCTGGGCCGCAGCCTGGCTGGTACCCATTCCTCTCTTCGTGAACTCATTTGTGCCTGGCTGGTCCCCATCTCTCCCAGTGTTGAGTGTCTGAGTTGTTGCGGTGTGACGGTGTGAGGGCGGGGTGACCACTTGCATATTAGTACTTTATTATATAGGATTCTAAGTATTAAATATTAAGTATGCATTAAGTTTAATTTATTAGAGAAATATTTAATGTATTATTTGAATTATTAAATATTTATAAAATACAATAATTACTGTTATATATTTATAATGTGTAATAGTTAATAGGTAATATAACATATACATATTTATAATACAGTATTTATAGTATACTAGAGGCCTGATGCACAAATTCATGCATGTGTGGGGTCGGGCTGGCCCACCCAGGGCTGATCAGGGGCAGGGCTGGCTGGGGGAGGGGCCTCGGGCGGTTGCCCGGCCGGCCCTGCCCCAGACCCAGCCCCCTGGTCAAATTCCCAATGGAATTCCTGGTCGAAGGGGACAATTTGCATATTAGCCTTTTTATTATATAGGATAATAGTTAAAATTTATATAGATAAATAAGAATTAAATATTTTAGGAATTCTTTCAGCTCCTCTTGAAGATTTGCCTTAACACTGTGTTTGTGCTTTATCTTTTGTATCTTTTTTTTTTTTTTTTTATATTTTATTGATTTTTTACAGAGAGGAAGGGAGAGGGATAGAGAGTTAGAAACATCGATGAGAGAGAAACATCGATCAGCTGCCTCCTGCACATCTCCCACTGGGGATGTGCCCGCAACCCAGGTACATGCCCTTGACCGGAATCGAACCCGGGACCCCTCAGTCCGCAGGCTGACGCTCTATCCACTGAGCCAAACCGGTTTCGGCAGGCAATTAATTCTCCAAGATTTGGTATTAGGAAAAAAATCAGTAGAGACAACAACTGTCCATTTTTCCCTTTGATTCTTTATGTATTTGCCTGTGTGTCTTTAAATAAAGTATCTACATAAGCTTGATTTTTTTTTTTTAATTGGAAGAGTTATCAGTGTGGATTTCCCACAGTATAAGAGGGGATTAGGGCTCTTCCACTGCCTCTGAGCTCCTTACCTGCATCAATGGTTGCCAGCTCTTCTTCCTCATGAGTCGGCTTCTGTTGGGTCAGTGTTTAATATAACATTATGAGACTCAGACTCATAATGGAGCCATGATCTGTGCTGTGACTGTTCTTCCTTGCATGACAACACTTTGTTTTCTGGACTGAATAATTGTTGCCTATTTGTTTAGATCTCTTGAGTACCTTTTGCAGGTTGCAATCCTAGTCTTTTGCCTTTTTCTAATAATCTCTTCTTGTACATTCAGACATGTTAGGATTTTTCACTTTCCTCTTCCTAAGGAACTTGAAATCTTCTGGCCCACCGAGTTTCTTGGTTATCAGCTAGGCTGTTGCCAGCTGCCCTGTCTGAGGTTTTTTACATCATCGTTCTGCAGACTCCTTGTGACCTGAGTCATCTTTACCACTTTCTCCCCACCATCATTTTTTCTTGGATAATTCCCCCGTTTTGAAGGAGCACATCTTTCACTACCTTCTTGAGAAAGGGTGTATGGGAAGTAAAGTTTTTGAGATCTTGCATATCCACAGATGTGTTTTTTATCCTGTACTAAGATTTTTTTTCTGTCTTTAGTTTTCTAAAAGTTTAATTGTGGTGTGACTTGGTCTGGATTTCTTTAGGCTGATCCTGTTGTGTTGGTTCACTCAGCTTCTTGAATCTATATATGTGATTCTTCTGCCAAATTTGGGACACTTTTAACCATACTTCTTACATCACTTTTCAGCGCTGTTCTCTTTTCCCTCTAAGACTCTGATGGTACCAGTCTCAGATCTTTGTTATTTCCCACAAGTTCCTGGAGCTCTCCTCTTTTTTCTTTTTTCACTGTCAGTTTGAGTAAATTTTATAAGTTCTGTTTCTTTTCTGAGGTTTTCTATTTTATTCTATACTAGAGGCCCAGTACACGAAATTTGTGCATGGGGGTGGGTGTCCCTCAGCCCGGCCTGCACCCTCTCCAATCTGGGACCCCTTGGGGGATGTTCGACTGCTGGCAATTGGACATCCAGCTCACAATCCAGGACTGCTGGCTCCTAACTGCTTGCCTGCCTGCCTGCCTGATTGCCCCTAAACGCTTCTGCCTGCTAGCTTGATCGCCCCTAACCGCTCCCCTGCTGGCCTGATTGACACCTAACTGCTCCCCTGCTGGCCTGATTGACACCTAACTGCTCCCCTGCTGGCCTGATTGCCCCCAACTGCCCTCCCTGCTGGCCTGTTCACCCCCAACTGCCCTCCCCTGCCGGCCTGTTCGCCCCAACTGCCCTCCCCTGCTGGCCTGATCGCCCACAACTGCCCTCCCCTGCCGACCATCTTCTGGCGATGTTGCGCATGATGCCACCTAGGCTTTTGTTATATTGGATTGAGATAATTTGTAATTGCTTTTTGAGGACTTTTGATGATGAAAACTTTTTCTGATGATCCCAGCATCTGCTTCATCTTGTTGTTGCTATCAATGTCTTTTCTCATTTAAGCTGTGATTTTCCACGTTCTTGGAATGAGTTGTTTTTTATTGTATCCTGGAGACTTCGGAGAGTGTATTAGGTAGGAGATGCTGGATCCTACTTAAATCTTGTATCTTAGCAGCCTTCGACCCTGATTGGGCTTAGTGAGTGGTCCTGGCCTAGGTTGGTAGGCTATAGGTTCCATGACAGCTTAGTTTGCCTTAGTCCTCTCCTGAGGCTGGATGGAATGTGAGGAGATTCTAGGTCTGGGTGGTCCTCTGGGGCTAGGTGGAGTGCAGGGGAGCAGGGGAGGATGCCTTGTTAGATATTTATAATGCATAATAGTTAATATGTAATATAATATATAAATATTTATAATATATTTATAGTATGTAATAGCTAAATAAGAATTAAATATTTTAGGATATTTAATGATGTGGTAGCCTGCTACCACCTGGTTTGGGTGGAGGCTGGGAATCCCTATCTGATTTTTGCTAATATCACCTACGAAGGTGGAGTACTGATGCTCTCTGTGGGGTGTGGGATATCCTACTCAGTCTCCGTGGACACCCAGGTGTAGGCTGAATGCCTGTACCCACTGTCAGTGCCTGCCTGTTGCTCCTTTGCTGCTCCTTGGGCCAGGAGGGCACGATTTTATTTGTTCTTATTTGCTCTTATGGTATGTCTGGGTTGCATGCTCCTCTGACACCCACTCTAGGACATAGATGGAGATAAAAAGAAACTCTAGTCAGTCTCCCTTTGTCTTCCCACACTTGAGAGATCTGTAAATATGCTTAATTTCTGAGAAAAATGCAAACTAAAATGAGGTACCATATCTTCCCACCAGTTGGCAAGAATAAAAATACTTGACAATATTCAGTATTGGTTAGATACTGTTGGTTGGAATGTAGCTTGGTGTAAGTTTGTAAAATGTTTTTGGATGGCGATTTATAAATAGGTACTAAAATTGGAAATGTCATACATGTTCTGTGACCTGAGTTTAACATAATAGATTCATTTACAGATGTTCAAAGATAGAAGTGCATATAGTTTTAATGCAGCCTTGTTTTGCAATAGAAAAATACTAGAAATAGCCTTAAATCCAGTAATAGAGAATTGATTAAGTAATTAATAGCATAGCCATAAAGCTAGTTAAGATTAAAGTAACTATAAGTACTCCTAAAAAAATGACTACAGTGTATTAACTTTTTATAAATTATAGAGAAGTATGTATAATATCTATCTATCTATACATATAATAGAGAAATATGCTAATTAACCAAAACGCCATAATGGGTCGACCAGATAGGAGGAGGTTGTGCGTGCAGCATTGGGGACGGGCCGGCAGGGGCCTCCGAGTGCCTGTGCTGGGGGAAGGCTTGATCAGCAGCGGCCGTGGCTGCTTCAAGGGCCGGAGAGGGAGTGGGCGGCGCCGCGCGATTTTGAATCGCGCACTGGGCTCCTAGTAAGTCCATAAAAATGTATGTGAAAATGTGTATATGTAGACATAACAGTGACAGGAATAAGACCTTTCAGGCCATTAAGAGAATTTCCTCCTGGACTGGAAATGGGGTGGTAAGGTGGTCAAGATGCACTGTGGGAGACAGGAAACTTAAATTTCTCAAAATTAAACCTTCCTCTGCTGTTTAGGGTAATCATACTACATTTATGATAGTAAAATATATAATTATTCCATAATGACTTAGACCAGTGATGGCGAACCTTTTGAGCTCGGTGTGTCAGCATTTTGAAAAACCCTAACTTAACTCTGGTGCCATGTCACATATAGAAATGTTTTGATATTTGCAACCATAGTAAAACAAAGACTTATATTTTTGATATTTATTTTATATATTTAAATGCCATTTAACAAAGAAAAAAAAACGAAAAAAATGAGTTCGCGTGTCACCTCTGACACGCATGTCATAGGTTCGCCATCACTGACTTAGACTATACTTCATGAAATTTTTCTTCCCCTCTCTCTTTTTTAGGACATGACCGATAATAGCAACAATCAACTGGTAGTAAGAGCAAAGTTTAACTTCCAACAGACAAATGAAGATGAGCTTTCCTTTACGAAAGGAGATGTCATCCATGTCACTCGAGTGGAGGAAGGGGGCTGGTGGGAGGGCACACACAACGGCAGGACTGGCTGGTTCCCCAGCAACTACGTCCGAGAGATCAAGCCCAGTGGTAAGTGGAGTGTTGACAGAATGGACTGATGCTTTTCCTTTAGGTGAGAAGGAACAGAAAGAAATGAATGTGCTCAGTATATATATACTATGTGCTTTTATTTAGTTGAACTTGTGTAAATGACCTTGGGCTGAGTATTGAAATTCTTCCCTATTTTTTGTTCTATGGGAAGTAATTTTTTACTGTACCCCCACATTGGGGGGATATAATGACTTCTGACCAACAGGCAATAAATCAAGGTTCCCATGACCCCCTCCTTGGGTTTGATATTTTGCTAGAATGACTTACAGAACTCAGGGAAATGCTAACTAGTTACATTTCCTGATGTGTTATATAATAATGGATACAGATGAACAGCCAGAGGAAGAGGCACATAGGATGAGGTCCTGAAGGTTCCTGCACACAGAACCTTCTGTCCTTGTGGAGTTAGGGGGTGCCACCCTTCCAGAATGTAGATGTGTTCACTAACCTGCAAGCTTTCTGAACCTCATACTATTGGGGTTTCTATGGAGGCTTCATCACATAGGCATCATTGATCATTAGTTCAAATCTCCAGCCCCTCTCCCCTTCCTTGGGATAGGGGTAGGGCTGAAAAGTCCAAGCTTCTAATCATGGCTGGGTCTTTTTGGTGACCAGCCCCCATCTGGGAGCTGACCCAGAGAGCCATCTCAGTAGAACAAAAGATGCTCCTAGTGCTCTTATCACTTAAGGAAATTACATGGGTTTTAGCTTTGTGCCACAAACTGGAGGCAGAGACAAATATATATATTTTCTGTTTCACAACCACATTTTGTTTATCCTTTCATCTGTTGCTGGACATTTGGGTTTTCACCTATTGGCTATTATGAATAATGTTGCTATGAACACAGGTATCTGTGTAAGTCCTTGCTTTCAGTTCTCTTGGGTATATACCTAGGGGTGGAATTGTGGCTCATACGGTAATTCTGTGTTAAATTTTGAGGAGCAGCCATGCTATTTCCACAGCAGCTGTATCATTTTACAGTACCACCAGCAATACAAAAGGGTTCTAATTTCTCCACATTCTTGCTAGCACTTTTTTTTTATAATAGTCATCCTAATGAGTGTGAAGTAGTATCTCATTGCTGCTATTTTTCTGTGCTTTTTGATAATAAGCAGTATTTTTCATCATTATTATAATAAAATTAACAATAGTTAAGATTTTGTGGTTGCTTATTATGTTCTGGTTATTGTATAAAGTGCTTTTTATTTGTGACCTCATTCAATCTTCACCACAACCCCAGAAGGCAAGTGTTGCTGGGATATTCAGGGCATATGGCACAAATAAATAATATTCTTTTAATCTATTCAAGTGTAGATCCAGCTGAGAGTGCAGTAATGGTATCAGGTTGATCAGGATGAAATGTCATTTTGACCTAATAGACACAGCTGTTGGGAAATGTGACTTAGTCTGTAACTTGTTTGGACTTGGTCAGTCCATGGGACAGCTGGACAGCCGTAGCACTGGCCCTTGAGCTTGAGGGCTGGGGCAGGCTGAGTCCTGGATCTGAGAGCAGCTCCTTGGCTAGTCTCACATTCCGGTGATTCATTTTTCTCCTGGGGATGAGAGAACAGCACTTGGGCCTTTTCCAGGAGGATGCTGGAGTCAAGGAGGGAGAGGGATGATGGGCTTTCCCTTTACAGTGAGGATGAGGTGGTCACAGAGCTGGTAATGGGCACACCATCAGGAAGTTAGAGTTGGTAATGGGCATCGCATTTAGGCATCACAGAGCTGGTAATGGACACCATCAGGAGGGCACAATGCTGTTAATGGGCACACAGGAAGTCACAGAGCTGGTAAGGGCACACCCAGGAGGTCACAGAGCTGGTAGGGCATGCTATTAGGAGGTCACAGAGCTGGTAATGAGTACATCATCAGGAGTGGAGCCCACTGATCCGGTAAATGTCTGCTGAATCTGGGCTTTCTTGAATTCTGCTGTGAATGATTCATTTCAATGGGAATTCTGGTATGATAGTAAAAATACAAATGAATGAATTTGTACTTTTCAGGTATTTCTCCTCATGGAGTTTTCAAAGTTAATCTTTGCAAATTAGGAAAGATAGAGTTTGAGTGAGTCTCAAAGTTCTCTTCAGGTGACTTCTGGGAGTTGTTTTCAAATTTATTTGAATGTTATTAATATCATCTCTTGGTAATACAATTCACCCTTGAACAACATGGGGGTTAGGAGTGCCAACTTCTGCTTAGCTGAAAATCCAAGTGAGGAAGCCTTACTGATAACCTAAGCAGTCGATTAACACAGATATTATATGTATAAAGTAAGGTAGAGAAAAGAAAATGTTATTAAGAAATATATATTTACATTATTTATTGAAAAAAAAATCTACAGGAAAGTGGATCCATGCAGTTCAAACTCCTGTTATTTAAGGGTTAGCTAGTTGGTTTCACAGATGCAGCCCTAAGAGGAACCAGCCATTACATATTTATAAGTGTTTATTTATGGCAGGAGTGACTGCAGCACTTTGTTCTGCCCGAAATTCTCTCATCTTAACCCTGGGTTTCTGTGTGTGTGTGGGTTGGGGGGGGGGGGGGGAGAGACCCTCAAACAGGTGTATGTAATTGCATTTGTGGTTCAAGAGCTCTTGGTGGCTGTCATCTGGACTCCCTAGTTTGCATATGCAAGTAACTTTGGAAATATTTCTGTTCTGTTTATTTTTTAAGGTATAAAAAGTAATATGGTTCATATTGGCAACCTGTTATGCTAATTATTCTTTATGTCAGCGGTTGCCAACTGGTGGTCTGTGAGGTCCGAAAGGTTGGCGACCGCTCTTTTATGTGACAGTTGAACCAAAGGGATAATTTCTTTTGGGAATAACTTCTCATCCCTAGTGTTTTCAAATTACACGAGTATATTAAAAATAAAGTTACCTCCATCTGATTTTAAATGTTGGCATCTGAGAGAGAAATAAGCCAAAGCAAATATTTTACCATACCACTTTATAACCGTTAAGAATAAAGTGCTAGGATCACTTAACATTTCAGTATTGCATCTTTTCAATAATTTATGTGGCTTTTTGATTTTTGGAATGGAATTTTTTTTAGGTGTGTATAATGTAAGCATTGTAACTTAGTGTATTTAATGCTTCATTTTCTGTAAGCAAAGTGTGCCAGGTCTTAAATATACAGATTCCTCTAACTGGAGATCTTGTTAGGATCATTTTCTTATGAAACAAAAACACTGACTTGCTTTAAGTTTTGAATTTTTCTTTTGATTTGATTTAAAAATATTTTATTGAATAAACAAAACTGAGGTTTACCTTTAAGTGAGTGATACCTTTTGGGCTGTGTATGTCCAGGTAAGTTCTGAAGCATGTCCAATTTCTCTCTTGCACCTCTTGGGGAAGTATAAGGAGCTGTGATTGTTTGCCCTCTGGTGGTGAGAGATGGCAGTGTTCTGGTCAAGTTTCATGTATTTGTACCTTTGACCTATTTGTGGTTTCTTTTTGAAATTGTTGCTCTTTAAAGACACATATTTCAAAGAGTCTGCATAAAGGTGTTTCTAATGCTTGCTGCAAATGCACTGTGTATTCTTCCTGAATGTGTACTTAGCATTTATTTTCTATACACATTTTTTTAAAAATATAAAACACATGGATATCTACTGCATTTTATACATACAAACAGTAGAGAATTTTTAAATTCAAAGGAGATGGAAGGAAAGAGAAGCAACAGGGCTGGTTCTGGGCATGAGTGACATTGGTTGCTGCTGTTATTAAGTAAATGTGGAGGCTCTCAGTCATTAGTGGGCAGTGTGATGAGGTGCGTGCAGTTGGAAAAAGAATCCCATTGAGGGCTAAGATGGTGAGGTGAACAAATCATATTCTCTGTCCTCACAAGTACAGTTTCATGTGTGCATAAACATGCACCAGCTTTTTTTCCAATTTTTTTTTTCTGATGCATTAATTTCTTCCATTTCTAGATAGCTCATTATCTGTACAGTAAAGGCTCTCTTTAAAAAAAAAACACACCAACTTACCTTAGGTGCTGGTTAGCTTGAGATGATGAGTAATAACCTATGTTTGGCAGTGATGTGAGAACTTAATTAAATGTGTGACTGTCATTTGCTGATCCACAGATCTTTAATAAGCAGTCACACTACACTTCCTAAGTTGGTCATTCTTAATATTTTCTGTTTATTTTTGACATCAAAAAGTGACATAAAGTGCAAGCTGTTGGACACAGTTATTAATTTAACTGTGAAAAAACAGTGTTTGATATAAATATTTTCTGTGCAGGGAAAGAAACAAAGGTAACATGGAACCTTGTGTATTTTTTTTTTTTTTGCATTGCTGGAAATAAGTGTTTTCTCTAGCCCTCACCCTTCTTTGGTGTGGAATGGGTGGTGGTTGGGTGGGATATCTTTATACTCTGGGTTGCAGAAGTATTCCTGCAGAGAGGAGTAACATTTGCTTCCTCAGGGGCTCCCAGAGGTTTTCTCGCACCAGGCAAATCCTGGTGGTCCTGCGGGAGCTTTGTGTAGATTTGCGATACACTTTGGCAGGGTCAGGCTCTGGGTTTTGATCCCTGAATAGCCAGCATACTTCCTTGCTGTTCTTCTGGACCAGCAGAGAAGAGGCTTGATTAGAAGCTTCTAGGCTTCTTTTCATCAGTCATGCAGGTCATCAAGAGATCCACCCCATTTTACTCTGCTCAGGTTGCAGGGCTGTCTTATTCCTGCATTGGTTGCACCTCAGCCCCTGGAGCCACCCTTCCTTACCCCCCACAGACCCCTTCCTGTCATTGCTGTTTTTCATCTCCTAGGGAGTCCCTACTCTCTTTTTCTTTTAGCACATCTGTGCTTAAATTCTGTTGTTTTCAGTGTTCTTATAGTTTATTGTAAGAAACGGAAAACTTGTTTCTTTAGTTGGCCACTGGAAAGGTAGCACTAAATTATGTTCTCAGTAATAGTGGATTGTATCACGTTTTAGCTATCAGACACACCCACCCCATAGAACCAGTGATAGACAAACCCACACATAGAACTAATGTTAGATATGACACACTCTCCTCGTAGAACCAGTGATAGACAGACACAGACACACACACACACACACACAGACACACACACACAGGCACACACACACACATATTCTGAGAGCCATGTTATCTGAAAGCACTTCTTCAGTACCAATTGTGCTTAATTTCTCTTGAATGGATGTTGAATAAAAGCCATGCAATTTAAAAATATTTGAATCCTTGCAGTATTCATGACGGCTTTCATTCTTGTCACTTGTGTGGAAGTTCTTAAGGCAGTGTGATTTTTTCTGTTGTTTTTTCCACCCATTTGGGTGGCCTTCCTTCTCTTTTGTCTATCACCTTGAGCCAGACCATATTGTTTAGAGAGACTTTTGTGTTCTGAGTGATCAGAATCCCTGAAATATAGTCTAGACCAGTGGTTATCAACCTTCTGGCCTTTAAATACAGTTCCTCATGTTGTGACCCAACCATAAAATTATTTTCGTTGCTACTTCATAACTGTAATGTTGCTACTGTTATGAATCGTAATATAAATATCTGATATGCGACCCCTGTGAAAGGGTCGTTTGACTGCCAAAGGGGTCTCGACTCACAGGTTGAGAACCGCTGGTCTAGACCAGCTGTGGGCAAATTACGGCCCGTTTTGAAATGAATAAAACTAAATGAATAAAACTAAAAAAACAAAAAGACCATACCCTTTTATGTAATGATGTTTACTTTGAATTTATATTAGTTCACACAAACACTCCATCCATGCTTTTGTTCCGGCCCTCCGGTCCAGTTTAAGAACCCACTGTGGCCCTCGAGTCAAAAAGTTTGCCCACCCCTGGTCTAGACTGTGGGTCTTGATGCTTTAATTTTGTGAAATATTTGCCAACATTTTCTCTAATTCTGCATGGGTAATAGTTTACCTTTGCTCAGCTCTCTGACGTCAGGTTGTTGAGCATGAAGAGATGCAGGCACTGTGGTGCCCCCTGGAGGTGCGCAGGCCTTCTGTTCAGCTTCCCCTTTTTGGTTTATTTCTTTTAAAAATATATATATATTTTACTGATTTTTTACAGAGAGGAAGGGGGAGGGATAGAGAGTCAGAAACATCAATGAGAGAGAAACATCGATCAGCTGCCTCCTGCACACCCCCTACTGGGGATGTGCCCACAACCAAGGTACATGCCCTTGACCGGAGTTGAACCTGAGACCCTTGAGTCCGAAGGCCGACACTCTATCCACTGAGCCAAACCCGTTAGGTTCGTTTTGGTTTATTTCAATTGAGGTTGCTGTACCATTCATGTTTGGCTATGTGGGGGCTGGTGCATTTGGTTGTCTCTAGTTTTGATCAGTAAAACGACATTACATTTATATTTCAGAAAAGCCTGTGTCTCCCAAATCTGGAACATTGAAGAGCCCTCCCAAAGGATTTGATACAACTGCCATTAACAAAAGCTATTATAATGTGGTGAGTAATTGCAAAACAGTTTTTAATAATACTTTGTTTTTTGAATGTCTCTAAAACTCAGTAATATATTATATAGGTAAACTACTGAGACTATGATAAGGATATAAAAATAAAAATCATTATGTGTCCCACACATGTAACTACCATTAATGTTTTGGTATTGCATTTTGAAACTTAACATGAGCACTTTGTAAGCTTAAAGATATCTATGGTATTAAATCTAAAATCTAATCCAAACCTTCTTTGTCCCTACACAATTGCATATGGCACAGAAAATAGGAAATGATAATCTTTATTTGGATAAAATTTTACATTGCTATTATATAACTAGGTATGATAAATCAGTAAAGTAAACTTTTAAAATGTGGTTATGTTTTGAATTCTGTGGAAAGTATGCACTTATTTAGTTATTTTTCCCCCCTACTTCCAATCTTTTATTTTTCTCAGATACATAAATCTGAGGCCATGAGACCTTTGAATTTTTGAAGTGAAATAAACAACTGATTAGTGTTTCTTTGCAGCAACCCTTTTACCATGAGTGTACCATTTTCTGTACTTTTATTAAGAAACCAGAGGTCCGGTGCACAAAATGTGTGCGGGAGCAAGGGGAGGGTGTCCTTCAGCTCGGCCTGAGTCCTCTCACAGTTTGGGACCCCTTGGCAGACATCCCTCTTATAGTCCGGGACCCCTCGCTCCTTACCGCCTGCCTGCTTGCTGCTCCTTACCGCTCGGCTCGCTGCTCCTTAGCGCTGCCACGTGAGCCCGGCTTCTGGCTGAGCTGCGCTCCCCCTGTGGGAACGCACTGACCACGAGGGGGCAGCTCCTGCGTTGAGCGTCTGTCTCCTGGTGGTCAGTGTTTATCCTAGCTACTGGTTGTTCTGCTGTAACGGTTGCTTAGGCTTTTATTATATAGACTAGAGGCCCCGTGCACAAAAATTTGTGCACTTTTGGGGTCCCTCAGCCCTCCCGACCTGTGCCCTCTTGCAGTCCGGGAGCCCTCAGGGGATATCCGACTGATGGCTTAGTCTGCAGTCTGGCCTCTGTCTGCAGGAGGTGACCGGTGGGTTGATTGGGGGATGGCGCCGGCCGGCCCTGCCCCCCATTGCCCCGCCGCTGGTTGCCGCTGCCCCACGATTGCCGTCCCCTCCCTCTGCCTGCTGGCACCCGCCTTGGCTGGCCTGACGCCAGCCCTGCCCCCCGCCAACTGGTTGTTCCACTGTTTGATTTGCATATTAGGCTTTTATTATATTACTAGGGGCCTGGTGCACAAAAATTTGTGCATGCGGGGGGTGTCCCTCAGCCCAGCATGTGCCCTCTCGCAAACCTGGGACCCCTTGAGGGATGTCCACCTGCTGGCTTAGGCCCGCTCCTGGGGGGATTGGGCCTAAGCTGGCAGTCAGACATCCCTCTGGCAGCCCGGGAGCCCTCAAGGGATGTCCACTTGCCAGCGGGGAGCAAGCCTAAGCTGCAGTCGGACATCCTTAGCGTTGCTGAGGAGGCGGGAGAGGCTCCCGCCACCACTGCTGTGTTGGCAGCCGTCAGCCTGGCTTGTGGCTGAGCAGAGTTCTCCCTGTGGGAGCACACTGACCACCAGGGGGCAGCTCCTGCATTGAGCATCTGCTCCCTGGTGGTCAGTGTGTGTCATAATGACCAGTCATTCCCATTCATTCTGCTGTTAGGGTCAATTGGCATATTACCCTTTTATTATATAGGATATAGATGGTGAGCCTGGCTGACATGGCTCAGTGGGGTGAGTGTTGATCTATGAGCTGGGAGATTGCAGTTCGATTCCTGGTCAGGGCACATGGTTGTGGGCTCATTCCCCAGTGTGGAGCGTGCAGGAAGCAGCCAATCGATGATTCTCTCTCCCCCTACCCCTTCCTCTTTTAAATCAATAAAAAAATATATTTTAAAACAAAGACAACCATTAAAAAATAAAAGAAATGATGAAAAATTGTTACATTTTTTTAATCTTCACCTAAGGATATGTTTTTATTGATTTGAGAGAGAGAGGATGGGAGAGAGAGAGAGAAAAAGAAACATTGATCTGTTGCCTCTTATACATGCCCCAACTGGGGCTGGAACCCGAAACCTAGGTATGTGCCCTGACGAGGAATCGAACCTGAGACCTTTCAGTGTACTGGACAATGGATGCTCCAACCAGCTGAGCCACACTGGCCAGGGCAATTACGACAGATTTGATTATGGGTCAGTTCTTCTACACTGACCTATTGCCACAGTCTCTTCTGTGTGTGCATATTTAGCTTTCTAAGCATTTACCTTAGCATTTACCCCAAATGCTACCTTTCTAAGCATTTCTTAGCATTTACCTTCCATTTGCCCCAAATCTTATGAGCAAGTTGGCCTCAGAGAAAATTCATTCACTTAACAAATTATTATTAGGAGCCCACTCTTTGTCCGGCCCTGTTAAAGGCATTGGGCATATAGCAGTGAATAGAAATAGCAGAAATTTCTCCCTTGTTAGTATATGTTCTGATGCATGGATACAGTCAATTGTTTTTCTCACCCCCTATGTCCATTTCATTGCCTCCTCTTTTCATCAGTTCACTTTAACACTTCTCATTCACTGCGTTCTGCACACGATGTCCCTAAACGCCTGCCATCAGCAATCTTTGACTTATTTTCCTTGTATTGGTCAACTCCAGATTTTCTTTTCCTGAGAAATCCTGCATTTGAGTCTCACCTTGTACTTCTCTGGTTTCTTCTCACCAATCATCTGTTTCATCTGGACTCTGACTTCCATCTCAACTCTGTCAACTTTCAGAACATTGGACTCCTCAGCACATCCTGTATTCCGCCCGACTCCGAGGGCCACCTTCCTTTCTTGGTTATGCTTAGCTCTCCACATCCTCTTCATCCTGTGCCTGTTGGATATTTGTTCCTGGGATGTGATTCCACTATCTTCTTTGTATTTTAGTATATGATGTGTTATATATGTGGTTTTGGGCCCATAGCCCCCCCAAAAAAGACTAAGTCTTTTTATGGTTTTTCGCAGTTTCTTAGTAGGAATACTTAACTTTTAACTATTGTAGCTTCCGTTTCCTCTTGTATTCTTAAATGATACTTTGGTTTCTGTTTTGGGAAGGGCTTCATGTAGGGAATAATGCAATCATAATCCACAGTGATGTTCTAAAGAGGGAACTACTTATTTTCTATTAAGAGTCTAAAGTAGTCTCTTTTCAGTGGTTTCACTTTCCAGTTTCCGTTAACCATGGTCAACTTTGGTCTGAAAATACTACAAGAAAAGTTTCAGAAATAAACCGTTTATAAGTTTTAAATGGTGCACTCTTCTGAGTATCTTGATGAAATCTCTTGCTCTCCCACACTCTCCTGCTCTGGCCAGGAATTGTCCCTTTGTCCGGTGTATACAAGCTGTATATGCTACCCGTTAGTCACTTAGAGGTCATTACAGTTTTCAGATTGACTGTTGTGATATCAAAGTGCTTGTGTGCAAGTAACCTTTACTTTTTACATTTTAAGCTTGGCTTTTCTAGTATTCACCAGAGTTCAGTATTTAGCCAAAGATTGCTTGAAAATTGTGCCGAACCATGCTTCCATCCTTTGCCAGTGTGTCTGTATGTGGTTGGTTGATAATGCATTGGAGCAGGGCTGGGGTGGGCGGAAGCTTTTTAGAACTTAAAAACAGTGAGTGGAAACATACAGGAAAATATCAAAGTTGATTAGGCTATGTAAAGTTTAATAAATTCTTTGCTTTCAAACAATGTAAACCAAATTATAGATTAACTAGAGGCCTGGTGCACAAAAATTCGTGCATGGGGCGGGTGGTGTCCCTCAGCCTGGCCTGCCCCCTCTCACAGTACAGGAGCCCTCAGGGGATGTCCTCATCTGCGGGAGGTGACCGGGCTGATCAGGGGAAGGCACCACCCCCATCACCCTGCTGCTGCCGCCACTGCTGGCCACCACAGCTGCCAGCCCTTGGCCTTCGCAGCCGCTGCTAGGACTGCTGGCCATTGGCCCTCACTTCTTAGCGTTGGCCCTACCCCCCCCCCCCCCTACATGCCCACTGGTGGGTGGGGGGGCGATCTGGGGCCAGGCCGGCTGGGGAGAGGGGCTGTGGGATGTTGAGGCACAGCAGGTTGCACCCTGTCCAGCCTCTGGAGGTGTGGCACGGGACCGGCTCACGCTGCTGTCTCTGCGGAAGGGGCAGCACTGGGACCGGACCGCACAGCCCCCTCTCCCGCTGCCTCTGTGGAAGGGGCCTTGGCACTGGACCGGCCCACACCGAGGCCTCTCCTGTGTCGCCTCTGCAAAAGGGGCCGTGGTGCTGCCTTCTCCCGCGGCTGCCTCCAGAGCCTTCTCCTCCCGCACTGCCGCCTCTCCTGCACCACTGGCCCTCGGCCCTTGCAGCCGCTGTGGCTTTGTCTGGAAGGACGTCTGGAAGACATCCAGTCTAATTAGTATATTACCCTTTTATTAGTATAGATTCGAACATTATTTGCAACAGTTATAACAACATAAGATTATTTTTAAAGTATGAAGAGCTAATTAAGACAAATACATTAAAATTAATAGATACATATGAATAGCTGTGCCTTAATAAGTGCAGGCTCCTCTAACGAAATGCCATAGATTGGTTGGAGTAAACACAGACATTTATTTCACACAGTTCTGGAGGCTGGAAGTTCAAGATCAAGGTGCCAGCATGATCGGGTTCTCCATGAAGTTACTTTCTTGGTTTACAGAGGGCTGCCTTCTGTTGTGTCCTTACAGGGTGGAGAGTGCAAGCTCTGGCCTTTTCATCCTTTTATTGACACTTATCCCATTCACCAGGGCTCTGCTTTTATGACCTAATTATTTCCCAAAGGTCTCGCCTCCTACTGCCAACACATTGGGGATTTAGTTTTCAACATGTGCATCTTGGAAGGACACACACATTCAGTCCACCCCACTCTGACTAAATAGTTAAGCTTACCATAAAAAATTTGATAGCAATGTTATATGTATCCAGTAAGCAGAGA